TACACATGCTTTGTCCATGGTCATGGTGCAGGTGTCAATGGGGCTCTTGAAGGTACAGTTCTACTGTTTAGACCAGCCTGGGGAAAGCTCTTCACTACAGTCCAGACAAAGTGTGCCACATCACTCTGTCATGCTCTGCTTTGCAGAATTTGAGCAGGCAATGAGGTGATGTGCTGAATGCTGAGGAACTGGACAAGTGAGAGCAGCTTTGTGAGGAGAAGGAAGAAAATGAGGACATTCTCCTTGTGCATGAAGAGTTCAGCTGTGTTGGGCACTGCAAGCCAGTCAGAACCTGACTGGCACTGGTTCCAGTAGCTGAGAGCTGCGTGCAGCTGACCCTCGTGGAATGTAACACAATCATCGATTATAATACCAATATGTGATTTGCATTGTTGGAATGAAATTCAGCCTCTATTAGTTTTCTGTTTGCTGGCTGTAAATGAAACCTCATGTTTAGAATTGTCTGATCACTTGCTTACGTGTGATGTTCCCCTACTGGACAATGGCAAGCTATGGGTCTCCAGTGGGCATTGGGTATAGAGTAGTGGTGATCAAGAGGCTGTTTAGATGGGATTTAGCTGAGGTGAGGTAAACCATGTAGCCTGACAGTTAAACAGTAACTGGAGTGAGAGAATGGAGTTCCACATGGGAGGGACTGTCAGCCACATTGTCTACGTGCCGTTAGCAGTGTGGCTTTGTGGCTGTTGTGCCATTATGTTACAGGTGAGAGGCAATGCCGGATAGCAAAGAGTGATTGAGTTTTGCCGGGGCCTTTTTAGGATTGCATGGCTGCCAGGGTTGCTGGTCTTTTGGTGGATATCTACTGAGCAGCAAGTTGTTCTGGGAAGTCCGTATGAAAACATGGGACTGGAAATGGAAGAGAGGGATGTCAAAGGGGCTGGGTAGGTACATGATGAGGCAAGTTTGGAAAGCTACAGCAAGACATTTCACTATGGTCACAACGAAAATCTCTCCAAAAAAACTTGATGCAACTGACAATTCACCAAAAAAAAATTCCACTTTAAGAAACCTTGTGAACTAGCACCTGTGACGTTTAATGAACATGATTGCACCTGTTCAATATTAATTGAGAGTCTCTAGGTTCAAATCAGGAAGCTGCAATCATTAAATTCATCATTCTACAGAGAGCAGTAGTAGCAGGAAATGTAAATGTGGCTTCAGTGCAGGTCAGTAAAATCCGCTTGTAAAATTTGTACTTTGATCCTTCTTTTTCTATTTGTGAACTTTGTACCTGGTTCATGAAACAAATACTGTATTTAAGTTCTGATGATGGGTCATTGCACTCAAAATGTTAATTCTGTTTTTCTATCCACAGATGATGCCAGGCCTGCTGAGTTTCTCAAGCACTTTCTGTTTTCATTACAGATCTCCAATATCAGCAGTTCTTTGTTTTATATTACCGTAGTTGAGTGGTGCAGACGTTGACCGTATTGGAGAGGGAGTTTCATATGTGGATACCCTGAGATATTTGTGCACCTACTGACGTTGAAACATGCGGGAATTAGCACTGTTCATCCACCACCCTCTTGTTTTAAAATATCTGCTCCTTAGACTGGCTTCAGAAGACTTTTTTGAGGGTCTTGCAGTTTATTATTTGGGATATGTCAACACGTAGAATGGATTTTTTTTCCTGTTTTTTGTAGAGACTGATGGGAATGTTTATGTTTTGCCTGTTTTAGCTATGTCATATTCTGTTTGTGTCATGGGATCGTACCTCTTAGGAACTAGCTCTGAACTAATTTCATTCGCAGCAGTTATTCATAGAGGAGAGTTGATCTTAGTGCTACAAGTCAAACCCAGGTTGCAGAGGTGAAATGAAATGCTAACACACTGTAACTCAGGATCAGACTGTTCTTCAAAAAGTTTTACTTTTCAACTGTTGCAGATACATAAAATGGGATGTGAACATTTCCAAATTCACATTCCCTTCTCTTTTGAGGGGAAACAGAAGAATTGAGAAGCATTTTTTTATCAAAATGACTTACAGCAAACTCACTAGCACCTGCAATAATGTGAATGTTTTTCCCATTTCTGGCTTAAGTGTACATTACATGTCTTAACAATGGCTCGGTTAATGGGCAATCACAAACAGACACAGCCTGAGTGGGACACTTTGTTTCTTTTTTTATTTATTAATTTGTGGGATGTGGCCGTTGCTGGCTGGCCAGCATTTATTACCCATCCCTAGTTGCCTTTGAGAAGGTGTTGGTGAGCTGTCTTCTTGAACTGCTTCATTTCTGGGACCTGGGTTTGCATTTAGCCTTAACTAATTGCATGAAGGCCTACTCTGTGTTATCTTTAGGGGATTGGATTAAGTTAGTGCAGTGCCAAATAGGTAGGGGTTGCTTGTGAAGATAAATATATAAGGCAGCTTGTAATCTCATACAGGAAATTCATAAGGATGACCAGTATTAAAACTTGAAAGGGTCTTCTGAAGAATGGTCTCTGGATCTGCAATGTTAACTGATTTCTCCCCTCAGATGTTGCCAGACCTGCTGAGTTGTTCCATCAATTTCTGCTTTTGTTTCTGATTTCCAGCATCCACAATTCTTTAGTTTTTTTTTAAACTTGAAAAATGTTCTAAGTATCGACATATCTCTCTTGCTATTAGCTCAATTTCACCAAAAATTAGCAGGACAGTCTTGATATTTTAAAAAAATAGTACTTTCTGAAATACAACTTCAGTGGTGAGCAGATTGGAAGTTTATTTTCAACCCGTTAAGATATTTATTATGTCTTTTTCTGCAATGATAAGTTTAAACGATCGCAATACTGATCAGTATTAACAGCTGCCAAATGACAAATTTGGAAAAGCTTGTAAGTTTGTTCACTCATTGAAAACTTACAAGGGGTGAAAAGCCTTGATGCCTAAGGTAAAACAGGACCTTATGATTTGTGCAAATTAGATCCATACCATGTCAAAAGAGCTTCAATGCCATTTTAACTGGGTTATGCATGGGGAGGCTCACCTGTCGGGTGAAGCTCTGCAGAGGGAAGAGGTCTGCCAAAGTAAATGTGAAACTTTGCTTTCTATCAACAGGAGAAGCTGGTCAAAGGCAACATGCATTTTTGGTCCCAGAAAAATACCCTGGACCTTAAATTTAGTTCAATTACAGTGTTTTTCACTCTTTCCTGACATCCTGAAATCTATGCTACATTAAAGTTGTTCCTCAGATTATAGGTTGAATCCTCTCTGCTTTATTGAAGAATATTCAAAGCAGAGGATCGATCTTTCAATGTAATGCGGCTTTATATTGGACCTACATCCCTCATCTTCCCTTAAGTTAACATAATTTAAACTGTTATATTCAAACATTTAGCCAGGAAAGCAGTTTGGAATAATCCCTCTTGAGTATTTTCAAAACCTGTTGGGAGCAGTGAATAATTTGGCGATGGGTAACAAGAATGTTCTGCTTTCATATTTGAACTCCTAATGATCTCTTTGGAGAGATGATAATTTCCAAGTATTACAGAACTTTGGACATTAATGAGGATTTTTTGTTTAAATTTAATTGTCTTTTCTCCATTATGTGAGGGTAATATAAGCAATTAGGGTCAATTTGCATCTGTTGTTTTATTTTGAAATTAACCAGAACTAAATTAATCCTTAAGAGAATATTTATAATCTTTACATCATAAATTGTCATTTGGTTGGAGTGGAAGACTGAATTAGAATTTGCAGGCCAGGCTTCGGTACTTAGCATCATAGGAAGACCAAGTGACAGTTAGGGAATTGAAGCTACAGTTTAATTATCCTATCCCCAATCTCTACTTGCATTCAAGAAAGTTCCTCAGTTGTTTTACAGTGATTTCTTTCAATGTATTCGCCTAGTTGTACTGACTTACATACTACCAACAACTTTCCAAGACATTTTTTTCTGAATATTCCTAGTTATTTGAAGCATCCTTCAAAACTATTTGGACTGAATAGCAAACATGTCTTTAGACATACCGCAAGAGAAATCTGTTCTCCTGATCACATTGTAAACTAATGAATTATAGAAATTTACAGGGCAGATGAAAACCATTTGACCTATCGATTCCTTCCTAGCCATTTGCTAAAATGTTCCATAACTAATCCTACATTCTCTAGAAGTATGTCACCCTCATATCATCCATCCACTTCCCTTATAAGGTGCAATGGTCACATTTCCACTATTCCTTCAGCAAAGCATCCATGTGTCACGTTTCTGATTTTTTCTGTGAACAGCACACAGAGGAAGTATTGCGGTGGCAAGTTTCTATTTTATGCCATCGATTTCTGTGATTACTGATAACCTGAGTCATTACTTGCGTCATACATAGTGCTTGATCAATTAATAGTAGGATCAATTCTACTCCTTTTATCGTATATTAAAAATGACCTCTGCACATTTAAACAAAATGCGCTGGTAGCTTCACATTCTGGCCTTCTTCCATACACTCAATTTGTCAGGGCACATTAATTGTCTGCAGCACCATTTACAAAGAGGTGGAGCCCTATTGATAAGGTGTTGCAAATGATATCCTATGCCACAGCCACATTAGACTGTCCTTGCACTTCCTGTCCTTAGGACTGGCACAAAGTAACAAGTTGTCCTTAATTTCATATAACTGCATGGGCTTCTTGTGATGTGCTGGAAAAACATTAAAATGGTCTTATTAATATTCAGTCAAATGCCCAGCAAGTGGCTGCTTACTGCCAAATCCCGCCAGGCAGAACCTGGTAATTGTACAATGAGACTTTTGACAAGGTAATCTTTCAGCTGTTAGTATCACATAATCACTTTTCTGTTTGATCACTTTATACATGCTTTTGTTTCAGTATTTTTGATTTTATTGGCTACTTAAGACATTTGAAAGAAAACTTAGACATTTTCTCTTTGCAATCTTTTACTTTGAGTACCCTATAATTCATATCAAGATTCATTTACGCGTAAATCATCACCATTTGTAAACGCAAGTAGTGGAGCTGTATAAGGTTAGAAATGCATGGGTACCTAAGACTCGTAAACGATCAGCACCAACAACTACTTCACTGTCCTCCGCTGAAAACAATAACTTGTTGGTATTAGAGGTGACTTCAAAACGCTTGCCACGTGCTTCTATAGCTTCACTTCCTGCAGCCAAACACAAAGAATTATGAGACATTGGAAATGGAATAATGAGTGTCACATGTAGAAATGCAATCCAGAAGCTGTATTTCAAACGAACATAAGAAACATGTGAAACAGAAGCAGGAGTAGACAACATGATATATTGAGTCTGCTCTACCACTCAGTACGATGTAGGAGATATTCAACATTAACTCCATTTTCCTACCTGCTCTGCATATCCCTTGATTCACTAACAGATCTAAAATATGTCTCTTTTAAATTACAAATCTTAAATTACAGATCTTACAGATCTACTCTAAAACCTTATGTCTCTTTCAGTTGTAAATATACTCAACAATGGAGCATCCAGACACTCTTGGGGTAAACAATTCCGAAGATTCACAACCTCTGTTTGCAAGATGCGCTGGCCAGGGAACATACGTCTACCCTGTCAAGCCCCTTCAGAATCTTGTATATTTTACTGAAATTACGTCCCAAACTTTTGAACACCAGAGTAAAAATCCAATTTATTCAGCCTCTCATCATAGTACAACCTTCTTATCTCAGGAAGCAATCTAATGAAACTTTGCTGCATCACCCGCAATTCAATATATTTTTCCTTAAATATTGAGACCAAAACTGTGCACAGTATGCTAGGTGTGGTCTCATCAACATCATACAGAAAATAGCAAATTCTCTTTGATTTTGTACTTGAATCCCCCAGTAGTAAAAGCTTTCCAATTTTCTTTCCCAATTGTTTGATGTATTTGCTTGCGATCTCGGTTACCCTTGTATGAGTTATATCTAAGTCTCTCTGATCAACATTTAGAAGTTGTACACCTTTGAAAAATATTTTTGCTTCCCTACTCTTGTTATCAAATTGCATAACCTTCCATATAATACTCCAACAGGCACTGTGTTGCATACTCACTTAACATATATATCTTTGGAGCCAATTGCACCCTCCTGACTGCTGACATTGGAATTTCCATTTAGGTTAACAGAAAAAGTGGATCAGTTTACTTTTGTTCTAATCATTAACACAGAGTGTAAATAGCTGATGCCCCAGCGCAGATTTTCATGGCATACCATAGAAACAATCTGCCAATTTGAAAATACCCAATTTATTCTCACTCTCTGCGTCCTGCCTGTCTATCCTAGATCTCAATTTGTAGTATTAACATTAGGCATAGCACCTTATCCAATGCCTTTGGAAATGCAGGTATACTGCATCTACCCACTCCCTTTTATCTGTACTATTAGTTACTTCCCCAAAAAAGTCTATGATCTTTGTCAAGTACAATTTCCCTTGTGTTGAGCTACTTTGACTCTGCCTTATCAGACTATGATTTTCTAAGGAAATTATTAAGATTTCTCTATTCAATCTTGGATTTCAGGATTTTTCTGAAGTCTGATATGAGGCTAACTGACTTTTAGTTCTCTTTATTTTCTCTCCTCCACTCTTGAATATAGTCTCATGTTTGCTAACTTCCAATCCCTTGGCACTATTCTAGAATCTATGGAATTTTGGAAAAGCATGTATCCATCATCTCTGCAATTATCTCTTTTAAAGCCTTAAGATGTAGGATATGAGGTCCTGAGGAAGGGTCACTGGATCCGAAACGTTAACTCTGTTTTTTCCTTCACAGATGCTGCCAGACCTGATGGGCTTTTCCAGCAACTTTGCTTTTGTTCCTGATTTACAGCTTTTGCAGTTCTTTAGGTTTTTATGAGGTCCTTGGGTTTTGTTGACTGTTAGTCACTTTATTCACTCTAATACTTTAACTCCACTAATAAAAATCCTTTAATTTCCTTATTCTCTTTAGCCTATTAGCTCGTCTCTATTTTTGTTACATAATTTTTGTCTTCCACTAAGTACACAGAGGCAAAATAGTTTTTTTTAAATTTCTCTGTAATTTCCTTAATCCCTATCATAATTTCTCCTGTTTCTGCCTTGTAGGAACTAATGCTTACATTAACTACTCACTTTATAAAATTGTAAAGCCTTGTATCATAGTTTTTGTATTTAAGGTTAGCTTACTCTAATATTCTCTTTCTTTATCATCTAATCAGCATTTTACTGCTTTCTAAAACTTTCTCCATCCATATTCTCACTATTATTTTTTGCAATATTAAAATGCTACTCCTAACCTCCCAAGTAATCCACAAATTGATTTGTCTTTCTGCATTCTTTGTTTTTTAATTAATTTTATTTTTGTTAATCTCTCCACAGAGCCAGCCTGACCTGCTGAATACTTCAACTATTTTATGTCTTTAAGATTTCCAGAATCCATAGTATTTTACTTTTTTATTCCCTTTGATTGCTGGTCATTCCATGAATTATTGGTTTAGAAAGCCACTAGAGAAACATTCTACAAATCATCCAGATTTGGCCCATTTGACATGTCTAGTCTGTGAGAAGATTAAATCTCCAATATTTGTTATATTGTCTTTGTTGCAAGCTCCAATTACATCTTGTTTAATGTTTCTTCAGTGGTATAATTACTGTTACTGAGCATATAAACTAATCACACTAGTGTTTTTCTCTTCCTTGTCATTTCTCATCCTTCTTTTTCCTAATCTGTAGCCATACTGATTCTAACTCCAAATCTTCTGAACCAAGATCCTTTCTTACTACTGTCCTAATGTCATCTTTTATTATCAGACCTACTCCCCCTCCTTTTCATTCTATCTATCTTCTAGAAATGATAATGTATTGTGAAATATTTATTTCTGAACTGTCTCTGGAATGCCAATTGTATCAGACCTATTTATCCAAATTTTTTCAACTAGATTATTTATCTTATTATGAACACTTTGCAGCAACTTTCTGAAGTGGGACTTCCTCCTAAGATAAGGGCAGAATTCTCCCATTAAAGCAATTAATGCTGCTTGCTGTGTTAAGTTGCTGTGGAGCAGCCATCAGCATTGTGGGTTTACTACAATTGACTATTCCAACTAAAACGGAGTTATTACATTTGTCTTCCTTCCTTTAGTTCTAGTTTCATATAGAGATGCCTGACCAAATGTCCCTGTGTTCCTTATGATTGGTCATTAGAAGATTTGCAAGAGTCAATTATCCTGAGATTCTTTTTCTTAAACATTTTCTGATAAAATATCCATGTAATATCTTCCTTCCCTGGAGCAGCAGGGTCATGATTCAGCTGGTAGCTATCAATAGCTACTGCAATATTGACAAAGAGCACAATAATGTTGCACATCCACTGAAATGAATTGGAACTATCGCTGACAGTATGTAGGCTCAAAGAAATCCCAGTCTGAAAGGAGTTAACTAAACATTTGTGTGCTTGTTCAGAACTGAAAAGCATCATGTGGCCCGTTATGGGCAAATAAGCAGTAAATTATGACTTTACCCATATCAAAATAATTTCCCTTGCGCCTCAACAGCTGGTACCTCAAGGTTAAATCCTAAGAAGTGTTTCATTCATGCATATAATTAAACCTATCCTTGTTTTGGTTTATCTTGTTCCTGTTTTGTCAACAAGTTCATAATGTTTAACTTAAACATGCACACACCAGCAATTGCAAGCTTGCAAAAGATCGCTGCCCGAGCAGTTTAAAAGTGTTTGTTTTCAACTGATCTACTTGATTGAAAATCGTCTGACACATCAATTATACAAACACTTGTGGGAGTGAGTCATGAAGGGCCACACTAAACAAAAATGTGAATATTGAAAATAACATTTGGCTAAGTATACGAATAGGAAAGGTTTGGGGGCGATATAGGCCAAACGCAGACAGTGGGACTAGTTTGGTTTGGGAACATGGTCAGCATGAACAAATTGAACTGAAGGGTCTGTTTGCATGTTGTGTGACTCTATGACTCCATGACATTTGTCACCCAAGGAATGAAACTTATTCACTTGCATTTTTCCATGAAATTTTCACAGAAATTCACCAAGGCTTGTATGACAGCACTTTTCAAATCCACAGCCACTACCATCTAGAAGGAAAAGGGCAGCAAATACACAGAAACACCATCGCTTGCAAGTTCAAATTTAAGCCACTTCCAAGTGCATTGCTATTCTCTCATGTCACTGGGCCAAAATTCTGGAACTCACTTCCTAATTGCAGGTTAATTTTCAGTAGCTGAGTTTTGATGTCAGCACAGTTCAGATTGCAGAAAACTGAAAAAAAAACAAGACCTGAAGTTTTAAAGCTGGTATGCCTCTCTACCTTAGCAATTGTACAAAGCAGGAAGTGACGGAAATGTGTGCCAACTTGTGGATCATGTCATCCTGCGATGGGGCTGTGAGCAAGATTGAGACAGGAAATGCCAATGACACAGAAATAGAAATCGGTGGGAAATCTCAGCAGGTTTGGCAGCATCTGTGGACAGAAATCAGAGTTAATGCTTCAGGGCCAGTGACCCTTCTTCATACTTCGAGTTCTGAAGAAGGGTCACTGGACCTGAAACATTAACTCTGATTTCTCTCCATGGATGCTGCCAGACCTGCTGAGATTTTCCAGTAATTTCTGTCTTTGATTCAGATTTTCAGCATCCACAATTCTTATGGTTTATAAAGTCAATGATACCCTTGTATGGACAAGAGTAGATATGCTGGTATTCCTGACCCCACAAAACAGGTTAAAAAATTTTGAACTTACCCTTTAGGGCCTCATTTGCCCCAGATCCATGTTCTCACTGGATTGGCCTGTTGGGAATATCTCTGTTACATCCTGCATTGGTTTCCTAGTAAAAATAACCATCAGGTCCAAATGAATATGTCAGAAAGTGACATACATAATTTAAATTGGACCCTGACGGCTTAGAGTGTGTGTTATTGTTACTTGTTCAGTGAAGGAGTTTAAAATTCTTTCTGTTCATCCCCCTTCAATTCCATGGAATTTAAGTGATCTGGGTGATATACTTGTCCAGTTTCCCTTGGGTGGATACAGCCTTGATCTGTTCTGCATTTGATAGAAGCAAAGCAAACTTCTGTTCATTTTCCCAGATGCTCTGTTGCTTGTAGTTATAACAGCTATAAAAGGATGATAAAGAAGCAACCAATTCCCATCATAAATGCAACCTTGACCTGAAGGGAACAATAAGAACCACCTACAAAGATATCATGAATGGAACGTGTGGATCAATTCTGTCATTGGTTTTCGTTCTTCCATCCTGGGGAAGTGTCAGCTCTTTACCATCCCACAGCAATGTGTATAAGACTGGGGACTCAAGAAGTATTGACAATTGAACCAAACATGCAGGAGCTGTTGGTGATCAACCCAGGTTATATATGAATAATGAAAATGAACTGAGCGAACTTTTAATGCACTTTTTCAGAAAAAAAATGGAACTGAATCTAAAAACTGTCTTATTTTTCAAATCTTCTCTTTTGAAGAATAATTTAGTTACTGAATTTTACATGGAGGTGGTGACCTTGATCAGCTGTGGGAATATCTGGGGTGCATCCACTTCCACAAGCTCAGACAACTATGACTGGATTTTACAGTTCTTAGGCAATTAACTGTCTGAGGCCAGGCTTACTTCAAGAGGGTTACAGTATAAGACTAGGGAAGTCTTACTGCAACTATACAAGGTGCTGGTAAGACCATATTTGGAGCATTGTGAGCAGTTTTGGTCCCCTTATTTAAGGAAAGATATAATTTCAGTGGAGGTAATTCAGAGAAGGTTCACAGGATGGCAAAAAATCTGAAAAAACATACTGGATGCTGGGAATCAGAAACAAAAACAGAAATTGCTGGGAAAACTCACCAGGTCTGGCAGCATCTGTGGAGAGACATCAGAGTTAATGTTTCTTCAGAGCCAGTACAGGGGGATTGTCTTATGAACAAAGGCTAAACAGCTTGGGACTGGAGTTGAGAAGAATGAGAGATGATTTCATTGAAACACATATAATTTTTAAGGGGCTTGAACAGGGGAAATACTGAGAGAATGTTTCCCCTCATGGAGATTCCAGAATTAGAGGGCATAATCTCAGAATAAAAGGGTGCCAATTTAAGACTGAAATGAGGAAGAATTTCTTCCCTTAGAGGTTTTGGAATCTTTAGAGCTCCTTGCCTCAGAGAGCAGCAGGGCAAGAGTCCTTGTGTAAATTTAAGGCCAGGATAGAAAAATTCTTGATCAGTAGGTGTCAAGGGTGAATGGGAAAATGCAAGAAATTGGACACGCAGAATGTCAAAGCAGTCACGGTCCTATTGAGTGGTGGAGCAGGCTCGAGGGATCGAACAGACTCCTCTTGTTCCTTTTGCTTCCAGGAGAGAGGATGTCCAACTTCCAAGAGCTGCCAGTCAGTCCCAAACAATGAACATTGTTAGAGGCTGTACTTGAGGGTAAGTGGGGCATCCACGACAGAGTCACTTAGTCAGGTCCTGACCAGGATGGGAATCTGACTTCAATTAGGAGCAAGGCAGCTGTTCAAGCGAGGGTGACTCTATCTGCTGGAGTGCTGGTGGTTGGCAGAAGTGAATTTCATACGTGGACCCTCCCTATCCACAACCCTGTAACTAAATCTCCATGGTTTAACTGCAGTGGTAAGCGATCGCCTTTAAGTGGCCCTTAATTGACCACTGAAGGACCTCAATTCATATCACTTCCACCCACTCTGCCACTGGTAAGATAACAGCAAAGATGGGTATATGCCAGGCATGACACCCCCTCACGCCAACAATCACTACCCCTATTTCTGGCCTACTGCTGTCCACCATGTGGACTAATTTCAATAAAATGCTAAAATGTGTAAGTCTTTTCTTTTGGCTTCTTCTGCCCTAAGAGGAAACATTTCTCTGACTTTACCTCTTCATTTCATTCATTTAGCCTCTATCCCCTGCCTCTCGGTGATTACACCGTGCATTTGAGAAAGCTGCTGTGGCAAAAATCCTGTTGAGCCACTCGATGATACAGCACAGCGACACGCTGCAGCACAACATCGGCAGAGCAGACTGAGTGTCAATCATCTTCATTGTTATTTTCAGCACACCCAGCTTGAAAGTGTCTCATAAGAGAGCTCCATACCGTCTCCGTGATATTCAGTCTTACCTGTATTTAACTGTGTAACAGTCTGATCCTGACTATTGCGGATGCTGACTGTAACATTCCTAGAAGACTGCAAGTAAAGGGAGCTGTCCTATAAACAAAGCAATATCAGAAAAAAATTATGTTAGGTACATTCCTTTGAGCATTAGTCTATTATTGTGGCAGCCGCGTTACTTATGCAAATTGTAAGATATAAATAATGAATTTGGTGGTGATATGGTGGGCTGGACAATAAACCAGGCAGAAGGGTACATCTATGGACATCCCACTACCAATTAATGCCACAGCCTCTTCCCATCACAGCCAGCAGTACCCACTTCATGTACAGAATTAGGAAAATTAAGGAATTTTGCATCTAATTTCCACTCCAGCTGCCTCCATATTCAAATGTTCATCCTTTGCCATTTCTGCCACGTCCAGCATGTTGCTACCGCTTAATACATTGTTCTCCTCTCGTCATCATTCTAAAGGGATTGCTCCCTGTAGTGATTATAACAAGGTCAGCCAGGTGACCTCACAGAATAGGAGTTCCCTGACTGGGGCTGTTCATCGGGTCCAAACAGGGAGTCCTGGCTGGCAGATATAAACGCGAGTGGCAGAGGTTCTGTTCACTCTGAGATCTGGCTGTGAGAAAGCTGGATCAGTGTTAAGGATAGTCCATGTGTAAATAAAAGGTGACTTGGTGATTGGATACCAGCCTCTGTGGAGTTAAATCACTCCCTCTGTGACATCCTAATCCACTTCACTATCACACCTTAAACCTCATCCCTCTCCCACTACACCTTCCCAGCAATCGTGGGAAGTCTAACACCTACCCTTTTACCTTTTCCCTCTATATAGTCAAAGGCCCCAAACACTCCTTCCTGGTAAAGCAGCAACTTCTTTCAAGCCAGTCTACTATATATGCCGTTTGCAATGCAGTCTCCTCTACAATGGGATGACCAAACTTGGACTGGTCAACTACTTTCTGGTACATCTCTGCTCTGTCTGGAAGAATGGCACCGACCTTGCAGTTGCTTGCCATTTCAGTATACCATCTTGCTCCCATGCTTATATTTCTGTCCTCGGCCTGGTGTAGCATTCCAATGTAGTCCAACACAAGCTAGACTAATAGAAATAACAAGGTGTAGAGCTGGATGAACACAGCAGGCCAAGCAGCATGAGAGGAGCAGGAAGGCTGATGATTTGGGCCTAGACCCCTCTTCAGAAAATGGTTTTCTGAAGAAGGGTCTAGGCCCAAAACGTCAGCCTTCCTGCTCCTCTGATGCTGCTTGGCCTGCTGGGTTCATCCAGCTCTACACCTTGTTATCTCAGATTCTCCAGCAGTTCCTACTATCTCTAGACTAACAGAACCTCATTTTCCACTTAAGCACTTTACAGCCTTCAGCTCTCATCATTTAATTTAACAAGTTGGGACTACGGACTTTATTTTGGTGTACTTTGTTTTCATTTTTCCCTATATCTTGGTTCCAAAATTTTATTTGCACTTCAAGCTAACATATAGTCTGCTACAATACACAACTTTGGATCTATGCTTGGTCACCTTTCAACATTACTGCTCTTTTTTCATTTTTAATCCATCACACCTTTGATCTCTAATCTTCCTCAACGTCTAACTATTGCCTGACCTTTTCTTTTGTTCTACTTGCTTCTCTTGTTTTTTCCGACTGCATAAAAGACATCACATTTCCACCTTCCTTCAGTTCCCAAGAAGAGACGTATTGGTCTCATAACACCAACTCTCCACAGATACAGCCAAACCTGCTGACCTTTTCCAGCCATTTCTGTTTTTATTTTAGATCTCCAGTATCCACAGTATTACACTTTTGTTATAAATATACATATTGAATACACAGAGAGAATGGTTGTATTTGATAAATGGAAAAAAGAGAAGCAGGATGTTAAAGTGATAGGTCTTCATGATAAAGTATCTGGCAGATCTTATTGTTGCTTATGGAGACAGAACCATAAAAAGGACTTTGTTACTACATCACACACAAATGTTCAGTGATGCCACATTAATTTTACTTGATGTTTGTATCCTAAAAAGAAATGTATTTAAGATATTTTATAGAGACAAGTTTCCTATAAAATAGTGCCTCTCATTTTAAAACTTGACAGGAACAAGAACTGAACCTTTAATTTGATTTTTTTCCAATATCTGTTTCATAAAGACACTTTTATGAGAATGCAGACAGTTTGCTTCTGCTTCACATTGACTAGATGTCAGCTAGGCTAGCTGATTTTAAAATGGATTTAACGTGCTCTATAGTTAATTAATAATTTTATCACTTACAATGTTTGTTTCATTAAAAGCTACAGCACAGTAAGATTGTACAACTTGCTTTATTCAATATCTTTTCCATAGAATTTAATGTTGTTGGGTCTTATTTATTAATCATTTAGAACTGAAGGGCATTTCCATTATACAGAGGTAAATCCCTGCAACTTGAAATCATGTCTTTGCTGCCCTATAGACAGACATTTTAAACAAAAGGCCGTAGCTCATGATCATAATATGAGAACATTTAGCTGCAACATTGCTACACTGGAAAAGGCAGTGTTTGTTTGGATTGACCAGAGACTGACTGTGTGGAAATAAACACAGAATAGCCCAATGCAAAGATCTGACATCAGTACATCTGCTTTAATTCTAGTTGATGAAATGTACCTTTCCTGACCTTCACAAGGAACATAGAAAACTTTCAAGTAAGGATTATTATGAAATATCCTCCATCAGGGGATAGGGTGAGATGCTCTTCAGAGGGTTGGTGCAACTCGATGGGCTGCATGGCCTCTATCTGCACGGTAGGGATTCTATAATTCTATCAGCTTTTTTCCAATCATGCGAATGAATTAAAGAGTTAAGATCAATATTTGCCATGAAGTATATAATGAAAGTCAAGCACTTTACCTAATCTTTCATGTAATGTGTTTTAATGGCTGGTGGAAATAAAAGTGGAGCACTTAGAACAGAGGCAGATGTTGCATGACAATGGCAGCAAGCTAGTCCACCATGTACAACTGCATATCTCTCAACATCCCCTTTTAAGTGAAAAACACACAAACAAAAAGAAATTTGCATGCACTAGTATGTACAGTTACAAGCTACCATTACCCAATGTACATGGTCGAGAAAGAAATTTAACATTCCTTAATAAACTGTGTGTTAATTCTAGTCCCTCTTACCTTTGTTACTCTCTGCACATGCAGTGTGTACATATCTTTAAATCATACAGGCATTTTAATTCATTCTTCCTTGCTGAGTTTGAACAGCTTTCTTACAGTTATGAAAATTCACTCAATCTCAACATCGGACACCATGTTTTATGAAATGTGTTTTAATAGCTGTTCCAAATCAAAGTGAAGCAGAAGGAGATCTCACATGACAACAGCAAGTCAGTTAGTACAGTATGTGCAACTGTATTTCTCCAGATAGCTACTAGTTTACAATTTAAATAAATGTACTGCTGGAGATTAATTAATGGCAATTAATAACACAATCAGTGAAGATGGAAAATAAAAAGTAATGTATGATCAACCAGCATTGTGGCAATCACATGTTACATCTGAAACATTGAAGGAGAAAAGAGAATGGCCACTAAAGGCTGCGTGCAAAATTAATCTTGAAATTTATCAAGAAGTTCTCTTTGCAGTGGGCCATTTCAATCTCCTTTGAATGCTATCAGGAACTGCTATTATTTGTCAGTATGATTTCTTAAAGATTAAACTATCTTTCTATTCATTGTGTGCCAAGTCTCTATCAAACAGTGCTTTCAAACAGAGATAGTAGGAACTGCAGATGCTGGAGAATCCAAGACAACAAGGTGCAGGGCTGGATGAACACAGCAGGCCAAGCAGCATCATAGGAGCAGAAAGGCTGATGTTTCGGGCCTAGACCCTTCATCAGAAAAAAGCCACACAGGTTATATTTCCCTCCATTTGCTAGGGAAAAACAGGTCTGAAGAAAGAACAAGAATAGCCAACTATTTTTCTAACATTAAAGTGAATAAAGGAAACGCCTCACAGTGCAATTACTGACAATTTTATTTCAAGATTCAATGGCACAGTGAGAATTAATAATGTGTTTAAAACAGCAACTTACAAAGAAACTCACGTGGATAGTGTGACTTTTACTGGTTCTTAGCTGAGAGTCATTTGGTTTTTCAGACAGAATAATTCAATATATTTTGAACACACCTCTGATCCTCTGTCCACCCTTTCCAGTGGATACTGCTTCATGAATGAATGAATGACTTATTTATTGTCATTTGCAATATACAGTGAAGAATACAGTAAAATACAGTAAAAAGCTTCAACAGTTGCTACTATCCACTGCCATTTTGAATAGCTTAAGAATAAAAAGGATAAAAGATATCACCGAAAAAGTGTCCTGAGCCGGCTCACCAGCGACACCTTGTGCTGCCACCCCTCCTCCATCACCTCACCGCTGCCTGTGCCAGAGCCACCAATGTAGGAGATGCCATTCTTTAGATGCCATCTCTCCACTGCTGCAAATACCGAGTCCCATGCTGAACCCACACTCCCCCTGCCACCAGAAGTTCCAGGCTCCACTGATGCCTTGATGGCGCCAGGAGTCCGAGCTCTGGGCATACCATGCTGCCACCGCTGCAGTTACCGCCTCGCCATTGCCAGGAGATCCCTGCTCTGGGTCTACTGCAACCAGGAGTCCTTGGATCCGCTGCCAGACCAGGCCGCTGCTGCTGTCTTACCAAGAGTCCTGGTCCGACCGCCCTCCTCTGACATGTTGCTTTGCCAGCACCGCCATCTTTAAAAGTCCACTGTTGCTGCCAGCCTCAAATGCCAGGAGGGCGCCCTAGCTGCCGCTGCTGTCACTGCCTCCAGTCACCATGAGGAGCTGTGTCCATCGCTGCCTCTGACCGCCGAGAGGAGCTGCCATTCCACGTATGGTCCCTCTAGCTGCCATGCCAATTTCCTTGACTAATCCACCGCAAAAGTTTACAAAGAAAAGAAAAGCAAAAAATAAAACTGAAAGGAAAAGAGCAGAAGTAAAAAGAAAGGGAAATAAAGAAACCATGCGGAAGCAGATGAGCCCTAGGCAAGAGCCTG